CTGATATTAAAATATTTCTTCTAATTAATTTCCTTTCAATGTGCACAAATCCGTACACCAGGCCACTAGTTATTAATAACAAACTACAACGTTCACTAATGACTGATTACTATAATCGTATTGCATTCATTTGCCTTATGCACAGGCGCACCATTTCTCTCCACTAATCCTAGCAGCAAATATTTTAGCAGCTGATTGCCACATCATTAGTCTTGTACTGACTTGTTTGGTGTGTGCCTCAGGAAATATTTTGCTTTCGGAGAACAAGAAAAATAGGTTTATTTGTGTTACACTTATTAATTTGTGCAGTTATTCAGTGTCTGGTAAGTTAATGTTCAAGAAAAAATATTTTTATTAAAATGTTCTATAATTTTGTGTTAACAATTATTTATTTCAGCCCTTTGTATTCAGCATGTCTCTATTGAAATAAACCTACATTTCTATGAAAATCGAAGCTTTTGTTTTTTCATGTGGCCCACATAAACTTAAACCTTGTTTGTTTGGCCCGTGTTAGCCTTTGAGTTTGACATGCTTGGAGTACACAGTTCTTTCTCTCCTCTTGACGGGAATGGGGATAGTATAAGCTGTCCAGAGTGACCTTTAATACTCTAAGCTCTGTGAGGTATTAATGTTCCTTTTTACTTTTTAAATAACACGTGCTGCTATTAAGTATTAAATGGCAACATAAAGCTTTATGATTTAAATTACTTTTAAATTCTTCAAGATCTCACAAAAGGACTTTTTTGAAATACATGTCTTTCTCCACTTAGGCTGGCTTGATGTTTGCCTTCTTTGGCAGAAATGATACTGCTTGGCGAAGCCGCCTGTTCATAGTCAGGACCCTTTTTCTCTAGTTTGCTCTGTAGCAATTACTTTAACCCTCCATTTCCCCTTCACATTGCAGATATTTTCATTGTAAAGGAAGGATAGTTGTCTTTATGTTTTCAGGACTGGATGTTCTGGCTAGGTTCATTAAAATAGATTTCTAGCTCAGGCAAAACTAGTTATAAGCTTAAGACTGCTTTTTTCTTTCTTTGTTTAAAAAAATATTTTTATTGACTTCAGAGAGAAAAGGAGAGGGAGAGAGAGATAGAAGCATCAATGATGAGAGAGAATCATTAATCCGCTGCCTCTTGCATGCCCCCTGCTGGGGATTGAGCTCACAAACCAGGCATGTGCCCTGAATGGGAATAGAACCATGACCTCCTGGTTCATAGTTGATGCTCAACTACAGCCAGGCTGTTTCTAGTTTTTTACTGTTGCAAACAGCACTTCAGTGAACATTCTTATTCATGTCTCCTGTGCACATGTGTGAAGTTTCTCTGTAGTACATTCCTGGAAGTAGAAGTGGTAGAATGTGAAGTTTGCACATCTTTGGCTTTTCCTAGATGTTACCAAATTGCTGTTCACGATGGTTATTTCAGATTATGTGGTATGCATACGAGTTTCCATTTCTCCATAACCTCACTAAAATTTGTTATGGTCAGACTTCTTAATTTTTGCCAAATTATGGTGATTTATTCTTTTAATTTGCTTTTTTCTGATGACTAACGAGCACCTTTGTAAATGTCAGTTGGCCATTGGTTTTTCTCTTCTGTCTCTTTCCTCCCAACTCTTTTGCCCATGTTTCTGTTGGGTTGTCTTTTCCTTCTTGATTTATAGGCTCTCTTTATAAATGCAAGCTGGTAATAATTTGCTAGTTCTATGCACTGCAATGATCTCCTTTTCTATGGATCATCTCTTTTTGCCTTGGTCCTAGGGCAGTGATGGCAAACCTTTTGAGCTTGGCGTGTCAGCATTTTGAAAAACCCTAACTTAACTCTGGTGCCGTGTCACATACAGAAATTTTTTGATATTTGCAACCATAGTAAAACAAAGACTTATATTTCTGATATTTATTTTATATATTTAAGTGCCATTTAACAAAGAAAAATCAACCAAAAAAATGAGTTCGTGTGTCACTTCTGACATGCATGTCATAGGTTCGCCATCACTGTCCTATGGTCTTCTGAGGCATAGAAGTTGTAAATTTTAATGAGGTTAGATCTCATCCATATTTTCCTTCATGGTTTTTACTTATGTCTTGAAAAACTTTTTCTATCATGAGATCAAGGTCAAGATATTCTTTATTTTAAGATCCATTTTTTCACATTTAGCTTTGTAATCTGTAATCTGGAGCAAAAAATTTTCTTCATCAGCCCGGCTGGCGTGGCTCAGGGGTTGAGCATTGACCTATGAACCAGGAGGTCACAGTTCGATTCCCAGTCAGGGCACATGCCCGGGTTGTGGGCTTCATCCCCAGTGTGGGGCATGTAGGAGGCAGCAGATCAATGATTCTCTCTCATCATTGATTTTTCTATCTCTTTCTCCCTTTCCTTCCTCTCTGAAATCAATAAAAAAATTTTTTCATCATCTATTGAATGTTTTATTTCAATGTCTATTTTTTTCATATCTAGGATTTCTAATGAATACTCTTTTTTTATGCACTTACCCTTGATTTCTTTTTTTTTTTTTTTTTTTGCTTATTTGTTTCATAATTTCTTGTTCTATTTTTAAATAAAAATTTATTTCATTTATTTCTCTGAACATTCTAAACATACTCATTTTGGTATGGTAGTCAGGCTGGTCTATGGAATTAGTTTCATATGAAATGACTGCATTTGCTAATGGGTGATTTTGTTGGTTGTCTGACTTAACATTGGATTGGCTTCAATTTTTGGAATTTACAGGATCATTCTGAGTGGCAGGTGTATTTTGTTTGTTTGATACTCTCCTTCCTCACCCTCCCTACCTAACGGTTTGCACTTTCTTCTACTTGACTCCTTGAATTCCAAGTTTAGAACCAGGCCTATTAAGTTTCATGCTTCATGTTAACACTGAAAAGCTCAGATTCAGCAAGAGAACCAGTGGGCACCTTGTTTTCAGGACCAGGCCATGAAGCTGAGTCTGTTTCCCCACCTTCCCCGAGAGGCTCGCAGTGTTCTAAATCTGAAATCGGCAGAGCAGTAATTGAGTTTCCATGCAACTCTCTCCCACCTCCAGTCTCCTTTCACAGGGTGTTGGGGATTTTAGCTCTGGCCCCAGTTAATCAGCTTGGCTCTCTTCTGGCTCACAGGAAACACTTTTAGTCCTTTTTCAATTGCTAAGCCTGCTTCCAGACCTGGACCCCAGAACTCAGGCCCCACTTATCCCATCCCATTTTGCAGCTATTCTGTAGCTCATGACTAGGTCTTTATTGTGTTTTTAAAAAATAACTCTTAAGCCCTAACCGGTTTGGCTCAGTGGATAGAGCATCGGCCTGTGGACTGAAAGGTCCCAGATTTGATTCTAGTCAAGGGCATGTACCTTGGTTGCGGGCACATCCCCAGTAGGAGGTGGGCAGGAGGCAGCTTATCGATGCTTCTCTCTCATCGATGTTTCTAACTCTCTATCCCTCTCCCTTCCTCTCTGTAAAAAATCAATAAAATATATTTTTTTAAAAATAACTCTTAACTGTATTGCTACTTTGTGTTTGGAACAGCAGACATGCATGGAAGTGTGAATTCACTGTGTCATCTTGAGTGATATCAACATCAGCCCGGCTGGTGTGGCTCAGTGTTTGAGCATTGACCTATGAGCCAGGAGGTTATTGGTTCAATTCCCAGTCAGGGCACATGTCTGGGTTGCGGGTTCCATTCCCAGTTCGGGGTGGGCAAGAGGCAGCCGATTCATCAATGATTCTCTGTCATCATTGATGTTTCCATCCCTCTCTCCCTCTCCCTTTTTCTCTCTGAAATAAATTTTAAAAATATTATATATATGCCATGGTGGGTACATGCTTGCCTGTGGGTACTCATGGTGGATGTTTTTTAATGAAGGACTCTTGGGTATATCTTCTTATTCCTGTTTACACCTTGAATGTTTAGTTTGGATCCCACTAAAGTTGCATAACCTTGGCAAGTTGCTTTTTTAACATCTCTAATCTTTTCCCCCATATTTCAGATGAGAGGATAATATACCTTGCAGGGCTGCCTAAAGATCTAGGACAGTTCTGTGCAGGTCCTTCCCATGGATTAGAAGGCATTCCAGAGAGATTAGTTCTCTCCTGCTCTGTCCCCACCCAACCCTCATCAGTGATTAATGATCTCCCTGGCAGAGCAAACAATTTTCTGCAGTTGTTGGATATTGAGTTCTATATGTGTTAATAGGTTAAGATGATTGATAGTGTCATCCAGACTTGTATATTTTATTGATTTTGGGGGAGGGGGCGTGTCTTCTGGTTCTATTAATTACTGAGAGAGATGTGCTAAAATATACAACTACAATTGTGGATTTGTCTAGTTCCCCCTGTGGTTCTCTGTTTTATTTTGTGTGTTTGCTTTTTATGACATTATTTTTTGTTGCTGTCGAAATCTTCCATATAGATTCATTTCTTGTTTTATCAGCATTATTGAGGTATAATTGACGTAATAAACTGTTTAGCATTTTTAAGGTATGTATGTAATTTGGTGAGTTTTGTCATATGTATATACTAGTAAGCCAGTGAAACCACTACTACAGTGAAGATAATGAACATACCATTACCCTTAAAAGTTTCTTTGTGCCAGTTGGTAATTCCTTCCTCCAGCTTCCTCCTCCCTTCTCCCTCCCCACTGCTCCCAACCAGATAAACACTGATATACTTCTGGCACTATAAATTAATTTGTATTTTTTAGAATTTTACATAAATGGAATCATACTTTATAGACTCCTTTGTGGTCTGACTTCTTTCACTTAGCATGATTATTTTGGTTTTCATTCATGTTGCTGTATTTATCAATAGTTCACTCTTATTTATTGCTGAGTAGTATTCTATTATATGAATACAGCATAATTTGTTTATCTAGTCACTTAATTCTGGACATTTGGATTCTTTCCAGTTTTTGACTGTTATTTTCCTAATATGTATTATAACTTGTGGAATAAGTGCAAATGTAATTTACCGTGTCGTAATGTCCCTTTATTTTTCTCTCTCTTTACAGCATGGGTAAGTTCTCTCTCCATGGGGATGATTTTCTTTTGCTGCCCAATAGTCAGCATCTTCACAGACATATTTGGTTGTCGGCAAACAGCTGTTGTGGGTGCTGCTATTGGATTCGTTGGACTCATGTCCAGTTCTTTTGTAAGGTAAGGACTTGGTTTCTTCATGTTGCTTTTTGAGAACTGTTAGGTACCTTAAAATTTTCCTTTCAGAAACTTTGCTGTTTACAAGAAAACATCTTCCTTTTTGTTGCTTAAACTGTACGCAATATGACTTGCTCATTGTTATCCATCGCAGCAAATCAGAGCTTGCAAAATTGAGTGTTTTTGCTTATAGTGCCTCACAGTTAGACATTGTTCAGGATTTACCGGTGTATGTTCCCTGGAGCAAGAAAAATGTTTCCCCTTTAGTTTTTTTCTAATCACATAACACTCCTAAAAGAACTCATACAATGAGTTGTCTAAAGCAATAGCATTAGTTGAAGGTCAGCTCAGTCTGAGGCCTGAAGGGTATAATAAGTGGTGTGTTGAAGCAGTTGTTCATAGGCTTGATATGAGATGTTTTTATTAATGAAAAGAACTTGGTTATTTATTTCAACCCAGGTAGAGAATTCCTGTGTGCATTTTTTTTTTTAAAAAAGAACACACTAAAATTTAAAAAGATTATGGCAAAATGAAGTGGTCAAATGCAGCTTAAAAGAAAAAAAAATATCAGTACATTTTGCCTGTGTCTGTTAAAGATGTAGTTCATACAGATGAAGAGGAACTAACTGCGAAGAGCTAATGGGCATATTACTGTATGGAGCACTTCTCCCTCCAGGTCCAGCTCTACTAGTCAATCCCGTTGCATTGTCAGAACAATCCCTGGTTAAAGAAACACTGGCTTAATATATTGCTCTAGCTAACAGGTGATTAACAAGAAAACCTCTTAAAATGATTTCCGTCTTATGTCTACTTTAGTGGTTTAATCCTAATTTGTTGCCTCTTTCCCTTACCTAGCTATCTTCATGCACTAGTTGAAAAACATTATTGAATCATTAGAAAAAACACACACACTTACATTTGTTGCCCTGATGGTTTTTAAATATTCTGGATTTAATCAACAGAATCCTTGGTTTACTAATTTTACCCCCACCCACCTTACCTATACCCCTTCCTCATCTCTAAAATGAGCCTCTTTCTTTCACCTAACTTAGAAAAGAAAATTTTTTTTAGAGAATGGGAGCGGGGGAGATAGATAATGAAATATTGATGTGAGAGAGACACGTCAATTGGTTGCCTCCTATATGCTCCCCGACCAGGTCTGGGGATCAAAGCTTCCAACTGAGGTATGTGGCCTTGACCAGAATCAAACCCGGGACCCTTCAGACCTCAGGCCGATACTATTCACTAAGCCAAACCAGCTAGGGCTAGAAATTTTATTTGGATTCTAAACAATTATTTTTATGCCTTGATAGAAAATATATATGCCATCTTTATAGTGCCCTTTATGATTTTTTCCCTTCTAAAGTTGTCTTTTAAAGAAACAAAACAATTTTGTTTGAAATAAGATTCTGCTTAGGTAATTATTTTCACTTTTTTTGTTTTTAAAGGAAGTTCTAACTTTTTTTTTTTAATAGAGGGAGAAAGGGAGAGATAGAAACATAGATGTGAGAGAGATACATCGATCTGTTGCCTCCCTAACTCAGGCTCAAACCCACAAGCTAGGTATGTGCCCTCACCGGGAATTGAACCCATGACCTTCCTCCAGTGCATGAATGACATTCCAACCAACCGAGCCACACCAGCCAGGGATAATTTGAGTTCTTGTTTTTTAGCAATAATACAATATTGTGCTATTACCAACTTGTCAGATACCTGTTTTGATCTGGAAACTTCCAGGTACCCATTGCCCGTATATGTGGCCAAAGCACTTGAGTATATTAACAATCAGGCTTTGGTGGAGAGATGACCAGCCGGTAGAAAACCCATGTAATTTATTACCTTATTTGGTAGACAAAAAACATATATACAAACCTACTTACAGCAAGCAATGCTTTTCAAACTTTTGATGACTGAGAAGTAAAAATTATGGAATGTGTTTTACATTGAGACTCAACAAAATGTCTTGAAACCATATTTGCTACATGTAATGTTCTCATATTTTCCACTCAGTTCCACTGGTCAAAAGATACCAAACTCTTATTTATTTAAAAATTAATAAATAATTTAATAAAATTTTTTTAAATTTTTTGTTTTTGTTTTTTCATTTCAGAGAGAGGAAGGGAGAGGGAGAGAGAGATAGAAACATCAATGATGAGAGAGAATCATTGTTCAGCTGCCTCCTGCATGCCCCACACTGGGGAGCAAGTCTATAACCCAGGCATGTGCCCTGACCTGGAATCAAACCATGACCTCCTGGTTCATGGGTCAACGCTCAACCACTGAGCCACACCAGCCTGGCAGAACACACCGCGCTTTTAGAGCAACACGCAGGAGCAAGGGGAAATGCGGTGTAAGTTCCGAGTGTTGAACAGTGGACCCGCTTTTCCTGGAGTTCAAATTCTACCTTCTTAGGAAAACCTTCTCCAGCAATCCCAGGGCACGTCAGTGTCCCTTCTCTGAGTCCTTTTTACACACAGGACTGGCATCTTACTGACTTCCACTGCACTTACTCAGATGTCAAACTTTCAACAATTTGACCGATTTGTTACTGAGGTGAAAATTTAGAAGTAAATGTAAAGGACGCAGTGGCAGTGAAAATGCCATCACAAAGCTTATGTACTTGACTTTGTGGGAGAGATAGGAAGTATTTAGTATTTAAAATGGTGTCCAAAAGAATGTTTTCAGTTTATATCCGTGGCTCCCTGGTCTTCTAGCTGACAGCTCTACAGTACTGTGGTATAATCATATAGCAATTGATGTTCATGATGATACTGTGTTGTTCAATACCATTTTTTTAAAATTTAAATTCTTTATTGTTTTTCTTGTTTGTTTTGTTAAAGAATTATGAATTTATTAGGTCATCTGGAAAATAGATGGCGCCAGCCAATTCGTTATTGTTGAAAGTATTACATAATTCTCCTTTTCCCCCATTGTCCTCTCCCACCCCCCAGCACAGGCCCTCACCCCCCTGCTGTCTGTGTCTATTGATTATGCGTATATGCATGCATACAAGTCCTTTGGTTGATCTCTTACCACCACTCCTTCAGCCTCCCCTGGTGAATACCATTTTTAATATTCACCTTGAAGAAAGCAGAGAAATGTATAATAGATTTAGATCCTTCCTTTAAAATTAAATAAAAATAAAATTATAAATAAAAAAATAAAGTAGTGCCTTAAGAAGTAAGTTGCAGTTATCTGGAAAACTATTTCTGTGGAAAAATTGATGCAGAATAAATGAAATATTATGTATATTTTGTTCTGTAGTATATGGGATAGATATCTTGTTTTACTAAGCAGACTATGAGTAGGGCAACCACATTTTAAATATTGTTTTTCACCAAGTACCTGGAACATAGTAGCGCTGAATATATGTTTATTGAATAAAGAGTGGAGATAAAGTAATGGATGATCAGGGTGAGGTCAAGTTAATCTGGGAGTGACTCTGGAACCTGATTAAAAGATGGTGCTAGTTGTGGATTAATAGAGGGAAAAGGGCATCTGAGAGGTTTGCAAACATGCTTAATTTTTATCAGATTCTAGAGTTCCTGTGCCTACCTCAGCATATTGCTAGACTAGTAGTGTCCAAAATTTAATTATTAACCAACTTTATCTTAATTTCTATTAAATAGTTTGCCTTTATTATTTGATAAATAGCCTTTTGAATTGGACATGTCAAAGGAAAACATATTGTTTTCTTTTTCTCCTTACTTGTTTTAAAGAATTTAATGATATGCTCCTTTGTTTTTATAAGAGATATATAATTAAGTTTCTTGGTTAAACTATAAAATTCTGAATCCTTTATTATTTCTTTGAGATGTATGTGGCCTTAAAGCTTACAAACTGGGAATATGCTTCATTTGATCTTTCTGCAATGAGAATATGACTTCTTGCTATCTTGCATAACACCGAGAACAGTGCAGTACAGGGCGAAGGTTGGTCTGCAGCCCTTAGGCCAGCAAAAATGAGACACAACTGCTCTTCTGTGCAGATGTTCCTGACATAACCTTGGGGAGGAAATATAAAATACAGCCTTTTCCTTTGTGCCCGGGAAAACTCCATAGAATAATGAATTTTCATAGTTAAAACATTTATTGAGACTAAGTTGTGTTTGTGTTAGTTTTAACAGTCGGTTTCACTGAGGCCCGTCCTGTATGAGGGCGGAAAGCACACAGCTTTTACCCAGTGCTGCAGGATTCACGGGAAATCCATGGGAAGAGAAGGAGAACAAAATCACCGATGACCTTAGCGGTCATTTTTCACATACTTGAGGCATTTATATTATCCATTCAGATTAAGTTAAAATATGTTTAGTGCTACATTCGTGGTTTACTAAGTGTTTCACCTGTCTGTCTTTAGTTACATTTTATTTGTAGAAAATACACCGATTCACTAAAACCCACTTGCTTGCTAAGGTTTTGTTCTACCAAGCACGGGATAAAAATAATGAAAGCTGCTTTCCATGTTTTTCGTCTTCACACAGTTCCATCGAACCTCTGTACCTCACCTACGGAATCATATTTGCCAGTGGCTGCTCCTTTGCGTACCAGCCTTCCTTGGTCATTTTGGGACACTATTTCAAGAAGCGCCTCGGACTGGTGAATGGCATTGTCACCGCGGGCAGCAGTCTCTTCACAATTTTGCTGCCTCTCCTTTTAAGGGTTCTGACCGAAAACTTGGACCTCTTTTACACGCTGAGAATCCTCTGCGTCTTCATGTTCGTGCTCTTTCTGGCTGGCTTTACTTACCGACCCCTTGCGCCCAGTGTCAGAGCGAAAGAGAGTGGAGTCAAAGGAGGCAACAGATCCTCCCTCTTTTCCAAGAGAAAGTTCAGTCCTCCCAGGAAAATTGTCAATTTCGCCATCTTCAAGGTGACAGCCTACGCAGTGTGGGCCGTTGGAATCCCGCTCGCGCTTTTGGGGTACTTCGTGCCTTACGTTCACTTGGTGAGTGTGCTTCCTTGGCTTTGCTGGTAACCGATCTTATTTCACACAGGAAAACCTAGAAGAGCAAAACAGATCAGGTTGAAGTTGGCCTCAAAATCTCTGGTGATCACAATTCAGGTCTTTTAAGACAACAGAGCTATCAGATCATTAAAAGAGGGGACATGTGTAATGGTGCGCTTTGATATTTTAAACATCGCTAAACCTACACAAACAAGAACAACTTCAAAACTTGATGGGTCACTGTTGCTTCAAGTGGCTTGCAGATCATAATCAGGGGCAAAGATGGTGCAGTGGTTTTTGCCAGCTAATCAATAAACTCTTTTTGAAACAGGGTGTGGAAATTAGGTAGATAGGAAAAGCCAGTGGCCTTGACACAAAGAAGCCTGACATTTCACTTGTGGGATACTTCTGGGATTGATTACTTAAGAAATGTTAGCAAGTTCCCAATGAGAGGAGAGGGAAGGGTTTCATAGGAAATTAGGATTTCAAGTGCTCCAGCAATTTATATTGCTTATCTCTATTTCTACTGAACCAAGAATAAGCAGTGTCTAAAATATTTGCCCCTGGCAGATTTTGCTCTAAGATGCTTATTATGTGTTTTTCCTTCTTTTCTTACTGTTGTGGCTGAAAGTGTATTTACAGGTCAACATACCTGATAAACAAAAATGATACTAAGATAAATTTTTCTTTTGTATGCATACTATGTGTGTGAACCGGAATCCTATCCAGTTTTTAGTCTACTTTTGGACATTCGTGCGATTTTTCTTTAAAGTTTTAGTGATAGTTTGTAACATAGGTCAAAAAATTACTGGGCACAATGGGTCAGCTGGTAAATTATATTCAACACTGTGGGTTCCTATGCCCAGTTCATAGGAATTAGGTTAAGGAAACATGAAGAGAGATGGCAGGAACGTCTTGGATCCAAGAATACTTTTATTTCTCATTTCCCCTTATTCTTTTTTTGCCAGAGGTGTTGGGGAAGCATCTGGGATGACCACAGGGGAGACAAGAAGAACTAGTTTTAATACTGTGACCACTTGGCATTTTTTAGTGACTGAGGTACTGGGTAAAATGAGCCAGTATGTGACCCCTGTCACATATGCAGTATGTGGCTACATCTTGATCTAATGATCCATTGCACACTTTTCAGGAAGGCATATCCGAACCATTGGAAACTATATTTTTGCTGTTGGACTACAGATCCATTGTGGAAGGATCAGCTTTACCACCTTCCTCTTCCATGGCTTCTCTTATTAAAATAACATTTGTTATATTCTTTTTCAAAGATGAGTAGAGTTTTTTTAAATAATTCTCTTTGGTACTATAAGGTGAACACACGCAGAGAAATCAGTCTCCCAGCTTTGCTATGCCAAACATTTATCAAAGCACAAGTAGCGGGTGATTGTCTAGTTATTTCTGTAATAACTAGATTACAAAAATATTTTGTAAATTAATTTAACTTATACTATTTCATTTGATCACAAGAAATCTGTGGCAGAATAAATAATATTAGCCTATTTTTGTGACTGGAAAACAGTCCCATTGTTAACAAAGATGTTGCCGTTCTCTCCCTCCCTGGAGCACTCCTACATCTTTCCCGTTCCCCTCGCCTTCTCCCACAGGCACAGATCTCCTAACCTCTAAGGGACCCCAGGAGACTTGCAACCAGGGGAGCAGTGGGCAGCGACCGCTCCTTCCGGGCTTACCCCCTGAACCTGTCTCCAAGGCCCCCTTTCTTTCCGACTTCTCAGTGAGCCAAAGCAGCTCACCTACCCTCTCTCCTGCTGCTTCTTCTATCCTAAGTCCTTCCTTGTTTCATTATCCCCAGCTTTAATAAACATACTCTCAAAATAGAATAAAAAAGAAAAGAAATGATGTTATGTGACTTCCTAAGAATCATATAACAGCAAAGCACGGTTTGGTTCCCTTCCACTGTGCTTACCTGGTGGCAAATCTAGTATAGCCTTATTTTGGAGCACAATGGGCCACTTCCCTGGATATACCACCAGATATGCCCATCTTATTTTTTGTTGTTGTTGTTAATCCTCACCCAAGGATATTTTTCCCATTGATTTTTAGAGAGAGTGGAAGGGAAGGAGGGGGGAGAGAGGGAAAGAGAGAGACATTGATGTGAGAGAGACACATTGATTATCTCCTGCACGCACCTGACTGGGGTGGGGATCGCACCTGCAACCCAGGTATGTGCCCTTGACCAGGAATCGAACCCAAGATCCTTCAGAGCACAGGCCAACGCTCTATCCACTGAGAAACATGGGCCAGGGCAGATATGCTCATCTTACTGGGGGGAAATGAGTATGCCTAATAAAACTTAATAAATATGTTATGGTCACTTCCTTAAACAAATTTCTTAGTAGTGGCCGAAACCGGTTTGGCTCAGTGGATAGAGCGTCGGCCTGCGGACTGAAAGGTCCTAGGTTCGATTCCGGTCAAGGGCATGTACCTGGGTTGCGGGCATATCCCCAGTGGGAGATGTGCAGGGGGCAGCTGATCGATGTTTCTCTCTCATCGATGTTTCTAACTCTCTATCCCTCTCCCTTCCTCTCTATAAAAAAATCAATAAAATATATTTTAAAAAAAAATTTCTTAGTAGTGAGTGATGAGTGAGACGATGTTATAGACACTGTGTTCACCAGGAGGCAGTAAATCAGGTAGCACAGGAGCAGTGAGGTTTTTTCCGACTCTGATAACAAGCCAGGCCTCTTTCCTGCTTTTCCTCCTTTAGGCATGTTTTCTTAGAAAAGGTGTTGATATTTGGGATTTTCTCTGTCGAACTGTTATGGCACTGAAAGCCACATTGGAGCGCAAACACCAGACAGTTAAATGCCGTGTAGGTGTTTGAAACTCGTGTTTGATGGGTGCACTGAGTTGTCAACTTGTTATAATTTAAGGTTTGAATTAAGGACAGTTAATCCAGACTTCCTGGAATGGGACACCTCTTTCCTCCTCAGAGTGGGAAAAGGTGTCTCAAATCTTTCCAAAGACCAGTAGATGTTGTTCAATTCATATTAAACACTTTTTGGGTGTTGAAGGGCATAGATATGTAAGGTATAAGAACCTGTCCTGAAGGAACATAAAATCTAGTAATGTAATAAAAACCATTATAGCTTATAAAGGATGTTTACATACATCATCTTATTTAATCTTCAAAAACAATGCACTCGCTGTGATGTTTCATCCTTATTTCATGGATGAGAAGACTGAAGCACTGAGAGATTTGAAAACTTGCCTGGGTGTCCACAGAGAGAGGGACCGATAATCAGTGTAGTACTTAGATGCAGTATTGTGGGATGGGTAAAGGTAAAGGCTCTGAAGTGAGACAGATCTGAGTTTGAATCCTGGTTTTGTTCGTTAGTTGGACAACCTTGGGTGACCTCTCTAAGCATTAGTTTCTTCACCTATAAAATAGGGATAAAGCCAACTTTGCAAAGTTGTTGTAAAGATTAGAGAAAACATATGCAAAGCTTCTATCCAGTTCTGGTATAAATATGAGAGTCATTTTAAGACAATGTGATTGCCGATTGAATAGTTTTAGGGGCTATAGAATCAAAGGAGAAAGTGGTATCCATTTGGAACAGTGGTTAGTTAAAAACTTCACAGGATTGGAATTGGGCCTTTAGCATGAGATTTGGGTTAAAACCAGATCCTTAATCAACTAGGGAACTAATTTACCTATCTAGGTCTTTCTAAAGATTCAGAATGAAGTGCTCTTGTGGTTATGTTAATCCTAAGATCTTGTTTATTAGTCTATTCATGATGATTTGAGAGGGGACTGTGTATGCTTTATGGCATTCTTGCTCTCAAAGCAAAGTTGGAGGTCTTATCTTTCAGTGTCACTTTTAAAAATAAAGCGTCATATTGCTCCCTGGAAGCTTCAAATGATCTCTTAGGCCTACCCACTTACAGTCTCCATTGTGAGGGTACAGATCTTACAGATCAGTTCAGATGAGACCTGACTTTCTAAATAACCATTTCTAATAGCAGCTGCTTCAGTTTTTATGATGTGCCCCTTCTGCCTAAGAGTTTGTTTAGTTTTCTGGGTTACGTTGCTATGGCTCCTCCTCCAGTTTTTCATTAGCTTCCAGAAGCTCAGCACTCTCTTAGTTTTCCTCCTACCTCTCCATTGGAAATGAGATGATACATCATTCTTCTTAGTTTCTTGGCTGGCTCCTTGTCACCCTGATCCCTGAATATCAGCTTGCCCCTCAATTTTTCCGGATTGGCTCAGTGGTTGAGTGCCGACCCAAGAATCAAGAGGTTACCAGTTTGATTCCCAGTCAAGGCACATGCCTGGGTTGCAGGCTCGATCCCTAGAAGGGGGTGTGTAGGAGGCAGTCAATCTGTTTTTCTCTCATCAATGTTTCTCTTATCTCTCTCCCTTTCTCTCTAAAATCAATTAAAAACGTATTTTTAAAAATATTTTTTATTGATTTTTAGAGAGAGAGGAAGGGAGAGGGGGAAAGAGAAACATCATTGTGAGAGTGGAACATCAATCGGCTGCCTCCTGCACTGGGAATCAAACTGGTAACCCTTGGTGCATGGGATGACGCTCAACCAACTGAGCCACACTGGCCAGGACACCCTAGATCTTTTTATTCTGGTGGTTTCATATAAGTAATTTATTTTCTCACCATTTTAATCTTTAAAATTCTCTGCTTTGGTGCCACAATTAATATTCACATTTTGTACTTAGAAGACATTCTGGTATTCATAGTCATGAAACACTTAACAAATAAGCACAAACTCAGCAAATCTCAGAATAATTAAATAATACCAATGCCATCTGTTGATGGAGGAAAGAGTTGATGTGTTTTGCTTTGAACTACAGCTTCATATGCATATGTTGAAGTTATCTATACTAATAAAAGGATAATATGCTAATTAAACCAGACATCTTCTGGACATTCTTCCGGACAAAGCCATGGTGGCAGGGGCTGAGGCAGAGGCGGTTAGGGGTGATCAGGCCACCAGGGGAGTAGTTA